TAAATGGTTACAAATACACACCACATAGAAAATGATATTCAGCTGACTCCACTTTGTCCTGTTATGCTCTTAGCAGTACAGCATTCAAACTGGAAAGATTTTGTATTGAAATGCAAGGTGATGTTGGGAACTGTTTGCATTTACTATTTGGAGGGCTTATATTGGACAATTCAAGCTTTTCTTTTCCGCTTTTCACCACCAGTGCAGTCTAATCTTTTCCAGCCACCAGTGTTGCAGGATTGTGCAGTACACAATGGTTTGTTTCGCAACAGCACCATCTACAGTGTAGAAAGAACGAGCGTATTTTCAGATTCCTTCTGATAAAAAAAATTCTAAATTGTGTGTTAGGACCAGATTTGATTGGCATTACTGCCATATCTCATTTACAATGTCCTTTTTTTCCCTACAACTAAACTGACTAAACCAGTAACTAAGAGGAGGGGGATGGGGAGACAGTTATTCTGGTCTACTTGTTAAATGTAACAAATCTTGTGATGTTCAACGTAATAGGAAGTCAAAAGATAAACTAAGCTTTGTGCACAGATCAGAATAAATTGTCAGATTTTTATCATCACTTCCCTTTTCCCTTTGCTTGTGAAGTTCTTTCCTTTTGGAAGTGTTCAACTACACAGCAATCGGTTACCCTCCAGGACTTCACCAAATGGCTATTATGCAGGTGGGAGCTTAACGAGTAAACGTCAACAAATGTTATCCATTGAATTGGGGAGTATTACAGCCGAGCCCTAGGTCATCCTCACCTGATTTGTTTTGTAGAATAAAGTTTGTGAAGTTTGCTATAGAACTGTAGAAATAGTCAGCCTGGTTCAATTGATTGAACTCACGCCTCTGAGTCATTCTCTCTGGATTATAGCTTTTAGAACAGTGGAGAGCAACTGACCACCAAATGTTTGTAGCAGTACCCATCTATTAACACCAATCCAATTTTGGAAACCACTATCCAATAAATGCATTCCATAGAACATGCAGAACAGATAGAGGTGCAGATAGGGGTAGATTACGAGACTGAACCACTAAGGCAAGAACACATACAATCCTCACATTCGCTTATTTTGTTTATCTATGTGAAGTCCTGTGTTGTGTTGAAAAGTGAATGGTGAGAGGATAGTTCAGCTGGACCTGAGTGGAGTATCACTGGGAGCTCAGTCTGCAATGTAATGTAAGTTATTGATCTTGCTGGGAGCTTTGTCTGTAAACCAAAGCCAGATTGGAAAACAAGAGCAATCAGGAAAGATAAGCAAAGACTGAGAATTACAGGTAATCAAAACACAAAAAAGGTGTCTAGGAACAGCAACGACAAAATTACATTTGTATAGCGCCTTTCACGTTCGGGAGGATATCCCAAGGCGTTGGACAGTCAGAGTTTCGGAACCGAGCTGAGGGGCGGTATTGGGGAAGGTGGAGGGCGGGGGGGAAGCAGGGTGATCGAAAGCACAGTTGAAGAGGAGGGTCTTGAGATGGGTTTTGAAGGAGGCAAGGGAGGGGGAGAGGCTGAGTGACTGCAGGATGGAGTTCCAGAGGGTTGGATCAAAGTAACAGGTCCGCTCGCCAATGGTGGGGTGGGCGAGGCTGGGGGAATTGAAGCAGACTGGAGCGGAGGGAGTGGGTAGGATGATAGGGGGTTAGGAGGTCACAGAGGTAAGTGGGAGCAACACCATGGAGGGCTTTGAAGTGAGGACCAGGATGTTGAACTGTATCCACTGTGTGATGAGAAACCAGTGGAGTCGGGCGAGAATGGGGGTGATAGGGTAACGGAGCTTGGTGTGGGAGAGAACACAGGCTGCAGAGTTCTGGATGATCTGCAGTCTATGGAGGGAGGGCTTGGGGAGGCCGACAAGCAGGGAGTTTGCATAGTCAAGCCTCGATGTAATGAATGCATGTATAAGGGTTTTGGTGGCCTGAGACACTGCCCAGCGTGGAGGGCACCACTATTATAAGTGCAAGATGTTGTTGTTGTTGGTGTGAGACAGTGGCGGAGCTGGGCGATGTTGCGAAGGTTGGGCAACGCAGAAGGTCATGGCATGGATGTGGGGTAGAAAGGATAGTTGAGGGTCAGAAAAAACGCCAAGGTTCCGGACTGGCTTAGCAAGGTGGAGTGTGCATCTGATGATGGTGATACTGTCAGCGCCTGAGGTGTGGAGGCACTGACAGGAGCCAATCAGGAGGGCCTCAGTCTTATTGATGTACAACTGAAGAAAGCTCTCATCCAGGACTTGATGTCTCACAGACATTCTGTCAGGACAGCAGTGGCCCTGGAGTCAAGGGTGGAGGCAGAGAGGTAGAGTTGGGTGTCATCCGCATACATGTGGAAGTTGACCCGATGTCTGCAGATGATGTCACCAAGAGTGAGCATATAGATATTGTAGGGGAGAGACCAAGGACAGAGCCCTGAGGAACACCGCACAAGATGGGGCTAGAGGAGAAACCGTTTGTGGAGATGAAGTGAAGGCGGTGTGAAAGGTACGATCTGAATCAGTCAAGGACAAAGCCATGAAGGTTGAGGTGAGAGGAGAAGCAGTGGATGAGGATAGAGTGATCAACGGTGTCGAAAGCAGCAGAGAGGTCGAGTAGGATGAGGAGGCAGAGGGAGCCCTGGTCGCAGATGGACAGAATCTTTGACTTTGACCAGGGCTGTTTCTGTGATGTGGGCGGCACGGAAACCCAATTGGAGGGGTTCGTGAAGGGTTTGGTGGGAGAGGAAGGAGCGAAGCTGAGAAGCAACATAATAATAATAATAATAACAAAAATAATAATAATCCTTGTATTTGATATAGTGCTTTTCACATCTTCTAGACGTCCCAAAGCACTTCACAGAATATATTGTAAAGTGAATTGACTGTATATTTATGGGCAAACACGGCAGCCAATTGCGCACAGCAATGTCCCACAAACAGTCATGGATTGAAAATGACCAATTTATTATTGTTTTCTTTTTTTGGAGGGATTATTATTAGGCGTGTGGTGTAAGGAAACTTGCCCAAGGTTTCGCCCTGCCTGGAATTGAACTCAAGTCTCTCACTTGCAAAGCGAGTGCTCTAACCATTGAGCTACAGGACTCCGTTCCTGGACCTTGGAAAGGAAAGGGAGGTTGAAGATGGGGCAGTAGTTTGAGAGCATAGATGGATCCAGGGAGGGTTTTTTTAAAGATAGGAGTGATGACGTCCATTTTTAATGGGATGGAAACAGTACCAGTGGACCGGGAGAGGTTTTTAATGTGATTAGAGGGGCAAGGAGGTGCAGCTGGGAGGCAAGGAAAGGGCTAGGGATGGGGTCGAGGGAACAGGTGGTCAGTTTTACATGGGTTTTAGAGGTGGTGAGAGAGGAGTGGGAGACAGGTGCAAAGGTGTGGAGGAGGGATGGGTAGGGGCTGAGGTGGGAGGGAGAGATGGGAAGGGTATAGTAGATGGAAGGGCAGAGGCAGCTGAGCAGATCCCCTCAACTTTGGATTCGAGGAAGTCCAGGATCACCTTGCAGTTGGCATTGGAATTTAGGATGGGTGAGGCGTGAGAGGGTAGGCGGAGGAGCTGGTTGGTGATGGAAAAGAGGAGCCTGGGGTTGACATTGCTTTCCAAGATTGTCTTGGAGTAGAACGACGATTTAGCAGAGGCAAGGGCGGAGCGGTAAAATTTGATTTGGTCCAGCCAGATCTGCTGATGGATCATTAAATTTGATTTAAGCCAGGTGCGCTCAGCAGCACGCACCTGTGCTTTAAGGGAGCGGAGATGGCTGGTGTACCATGGTGACTTTCATGCATAGGAGACGGTTCGGGAAGAGAGGGGAGCACGGGAGAGGGAGCTGTGGAGAAGAGTGACAAGGAAGATAGGTCATTGCGGGAGGAAGCCCAGAGGGAAAAGAGTTCAGATGACTCTAAGGCAGCCGAGAGGGAGGAGGGGACGATTTGTTTCCACGGGCGGTAGGAGATAGAGGTGGATTGGATGATGGTGGGGAGAAGGATTGAGGAGTTAAGGGAGATGACGTGATGGTCCGATTTCACTTTGTCAATGATGGTGAGGTCCGAGACAGTGAGGCCCCGTGTGATCACCAGGTCAAGGGGGTGATCGCGGACGTCGGACCGGTCTCTGGTTGGATGTTGACCAGGAGAGTCAGCGTTGGCCGCGATTGCTGAGGTGGCGAATCCCACGTTGGCTCCACACGACTCAGGTAGGTGGGCCTCAGGAATGTACAGGATTTGAAAAGATCACTTGGCTGATCCCAAAGTAAACAAAAAACAAACAAAGCTATCTCTTGTATCCTTCAATTGATTTCTTTGCCAAATAACTGTTTGATTTCCTCTTGATTTGCTGACACAACCTGCCCCCACCACCTTCCTAAGTTTTCCACAGATTAAGCAATTAAGTGTAAACTCTCTGACCATCGATCCTTCTGAGCTTAAGTCAATGTTTCTATTGATCTGGATTTTGAGGCAGTATTTAAACAAACACATAGGCGTTTAGTTTATCTGTAACCTTTTACCACATTCCATTCTTTTTTCTATCAAAAAAAGTATACTGTAATTCTGTTGCGGTTTTGAAGATTGTTTTGTGTGACACCCTGTGTTGTGTAGAGAAAGGTGAATGGTGATCTTGAAACTCCCTTCTTTGGTGTAAACGTTGCTATTTTTTCTTTGACATGCCCTGGTAACTCAGACGCCCAATTCCAGTAATTGATGTAGTTATGCTTTGCCGTTCCCTCACTAATGCCAATGTGTGCTTACTGTACTACTATATGATAATGAAAAATTGTACATAGGGCAAAGTAAAGAGGAACAAGTTAGGTAAAAGAGTATCTGGCAAATTCGATGTGAAGATGTTCTGGGATGATCAGTAGCACTGGAAACAGTTCCAACAAGAATTGCACGGTACAAAGAGGCTGAATGTGTTCTAGGGTATATTCTGTGAAGCACTTACAGACGTGTCAATGACATGATAAGATGCAAGGATAATTATTATTAATAATCTTTGCCTCATTTATTTTGTTTACAGGGAAAGCAACTGGAGAAAGTCCTACCCACCATTCAGTTTTCTCATCCTATCACTGCTCTCTGCACGGATGAGAATGCTAATGTTCTTTTAGCTGGCAATCAGAGTAAGTGGAGTTGTAAAATGTTTTACTAAAGATGCTTCTTCATGTGCAAAGTCCATGTGCATGTCTGAAGTGATGCACAAGCAGGTGAGCTTCCTGTGCCGTATTAGCATGTGTCATTTGGTAAATGCATCATTTTGTAGCACTCTACCTCAGAAGGCTGTGGGTTCAAGCTTCACGTTGGGACTTTGAACTCACTCCAAGGCAGTGCTGGGGGTGTGCTACATTACATTGGTGATGGTAGCTTTTAATGATTGGGGGTATTCAGGGTGCCCTTCCTTCACCAATGGAAATCTTTTCAACTTGTCCAAAAATCATTCTTGAAGCGAAAATTGCACTTGGGCAGGGTGAAGAAACAATTCCAGACTTTCCTGATATCAATGCAAGAAAAATCTCGCTGTGTCTCTTTGTATAGGCTTCAGCTCTGAGCCCCGAGAGGGGAGAGCGATGATTGACAGGGGGAGATGATCATTAGGGAAGCGTGATGCTTCCACGCTAGCCAACATTAGGGCAGCCTGGGGGCAAGAGTACCTCTGGCTTGAATGACAGCTTCAGGAATGAGAAAAACAAGCGACAACCCCTGATGAAATGTACCAAGTCCATGTTATAGTTTGTTTAATAGTGAAACTGAAATATCAGAGTGAGTTGGGGGACAGGGGAATGACATATCTATGTTAACAGAGCCTTCCTGCTTAAACCACCTCCTGCTTAAAACCTATATTGGATGCTTTTCAATATGTTAATGTTATTTGCTGCCTGTACCATTGCCATTTATTTTGAAATATGAGCCATTTATACCTGCTCTTCACAGTTGTACGTGAACTGTGTGAACCTCCCCCCTCCCTCTCCCCCTTGCTTAGGGTCAGACTCCGCCACCGTCAAGCGCTCCGGGATGTTTCCCCACGTGAAGGGCACTATATAAATACAAGTTGTTGTTGTATATCTGGCTAAGAATGTTACATAGAAATTAATAGAATTGACAGCACTGAAGCAACAACTAATCCATCATCCCTCCCAATCTGCCCCCTCCACCTTTCCTATATCTTTCTCTTCTCTTCTTTCTCCTGTATGCAAACATTCTTCTGTAAGATTTTTTGTTCAGTGATTTGCGGAACAATGTACGAACGGTGTTTGTAATAAGATTTCTTTGGATTTCAAAACCTGTTTTCTCATGAACCCTTCATAAGATGATGCAATATATTCTCATTCAGGAGGATACATATCAGCCTGGAATATTGAATCATTTCTAGATGATCCATATCTGCTGAATAGGGTAAGTTTCACAGTCCAAGAAGATTTGCTTTAGCAATTTAGGAAGTAGTATTGTTTAAGAAAGTGAGAAGCTATTGAATAAGTCATTCCAACAAGCCATATAGTTTGTATTCTGCTCCTAAGCTTTCTTATTTGTAGCATAATTCTGCAAATTGAAAGATAAAATAATGATTTAACACCTTTTGCATCTTTGTCTGTGACCTTCAATACTAGGTGTCAGTCTGACTCAGTTGATAGCAATTCTGCCTCTGAACCAGAAGGTTGTGGGTTCAAGACCCACATCAGGACCTGAACACGTGTAGTCTAAGCTTACACCAATGCAATGCTGAGGGGTATGTTGCATTGTTGGAAGTGCCATCCTTCAGATGAGATGTTAAACCGAGTTCCCATCTGCCTGTTCAAGTGGATGCTAAAGATCACTATGGACCTACTCAAAAAGAGAATAGGTTTCCTTCCAGTTTCCCTCCCAAAAAATGCTCATTCATTTTGTGGCTGTTTGTGGAACATTGCTGTGTGCAACTGGGCTGCAAATACACAGTCAATCCACTTCACAGTATATCCAGTGATGGGGTTTGGGACATCCTGCCGACGTGAAAGGCACTATACCAAATGTAAGAATTATTATTATCAATAATACTGTAGCTGGGGCAATGTAGTATCACATTAAACTATTTAAAAATTAAAAATTAAAATATTAAAAACTATTTCTTTTTGTAGGAGTCTGTGAACCGGGTAATCAGTTGGAGAGCCCATTCTCTGAAAATAGTCAGCATGTTCTATGTGGACAGCAAATCTGTGGTTGTTTCTGCTTCTCTGGACTGTTCTCTCAGGTATTGGACAGTAGCAAATGTTCTTGACCGTTTTTGCAACAGGCTGGTATTTAGATTTGGAACTACTTCTTTCCAACACTATATGCTTAGTCTTTACTTATTCCAATTACTGCACCATGTCAATTTAGACATGTGATCTGTTCTTGGTAAATATAAAAGTAGACTGAGAATAGAGGAAAGAACAAGGAGTCCCATTCCTCATTGTGAGAGTGTATACTTGTGCTGAGTGTATTTGTCTTTCCTGTGCTTTTAAATTAATTTAATGCCAACAACCTGTCATCAGTTTTTTTTCTCATGTCAATAGTGCATTCATACTGCTTTTCCACTGCATAAACAAAAGCTCTTCCAAGGCCTCAGAAAGTTTAGGTGAAAATGTGTGTTTTCTTTTTGATACTATCTATTAGGAAGAGAGGAAAGGGACGAGGAAGGTAAACAGGGTCTCTTTCTGTCCAAGGTAATGTGTCTGACAATGGAATATTAAAATCAAGTCAGCCTTCTGTGCCAGTCTAGTACTCTAAAATACGCTTGCAATACTCCAAGGCAATGTTGTTGATGGACTAGCCAGCTAGCCCGACGAGGCTTGGTGGGCAAACCTATCCCTGAGGCCACGGATCCTTCCCACTTGGCTTCTGCTAATACTGCACTCAAGGCCTAATAGGTAGTGTGGTCCTAGTTGGACAGTAATGGGAGACTTGCAGTCAGAGATTGAAATGGCAAATAGCCATGAAGTGAATAACCATTTTTATTTGGGGGATCATTGATCAGGACATCCCTTCTTTTTTCAAATAGTGCCATGGAATCTTTTAACGTCCACCTGAACCGATCAACGCAAACTTGGTTTAGTATCTCATCTGAAGGATGGTATTCACAGCAATACAGACAACCCCCAGTAATGCATTGGTGTTCAAAGTCTCCACTTAGGACTTGAACCCATAAGTTTCTGGCTAAGAGGCGAGAGTGCTACTGACAACTGTGGTACTCACAATTTTGAGTATCCAAGAAAAATGGCAGTATTCTTGAAAGATGACAAACGCCAAAATAGGCACACAAAAAAAAGGCCCGAAAGCAAAAGGCTGGTTGCAAATTTGAGTTTTCTGCATTAAGTAATTGCAGGTACAAATCTGTTCTTATTGCAAAATGCATTGGAGCATTATTCAGTGAGCCTGACTTATTATTTACCCTTTAAACTGTTAATACAAATCCTTGGTTACTGATTTTTTTTATTATTATTTAGGCTTTGGTATGCACCAAAAGGACATTACATTGGGTACTTTGGCCAGCACAGTGCTTTGAATTTAATGCCCCCCACCGATTTCATGTTGCCCAGTGACATAGCTGAAGGTCCAGTGGAAACCAAGTCAAAGAAATTTGACAAGAGTGATAGTGTGTTGGACTATCCTTTAAAGTTGGATTGGGAAAGGTGAGATCTTAAATATAGTTTGAAATTAGTTGTAATTTTAATAACAATAATCCTTGCATTTGATATAGCACCTAATTGCGTCGTCAAACATCTTAGAGAACTTTACAGAAATATACTGTGACCATATTTTGTAGGGCACTTTTGCAGGGTATTTTGTACCTCATGAAGGGCACTATATAACTGAAAATTGCTGTTGTTGTTGTTGTTGTTAAACCAATGTTTCGCAGCACTACATTGGAGTGTTACCCGATGAACTGAAGTGAGATTGAACCCACAACTTCCTGACTTGGAGGCAAGAGTCCTATCAACTAAGTCAACAACAATAACTTGCATTTATATAGGGCCCTTCACATGAGGTAGCATCCCAGAGCGCTTGACAGTGTAGAATCTAACCCCGAGCCAGGGGTAGGAGGTGATCATAAGCACGATCAAAAAGGTAGGTTTTTAGGTGGGATTTGAAAGTGGGAAGGGAGGGGGCAAGGTGGAAGGATTGAGGGAAAGAGATCCAGTGTTTTGCGACGATGGTGGAGCGGAGGAGGTGAGGGCTAAACAGGAGGCCGCAGCCAGCCGAACAGAGGCAGCGGTTGGGTGATTGGGCAGCAAGCAGATTGCATAGGTAGGGAGGATAAGGGCACAAAGGGATTTGAAAACAAGTGAGAGGATCTTGAAATGCATCCATTCGGTGATTTGGAGCCAGTGGTGCGATGGGGGTACAGAGTTTTGTGCGGGTGAGTATGCAGGCGGCAGAGTTTTGAATTAGTTGAATTTTGTGTATGGAGGAGCTGTGGAGACCAATGAGGAGGGCATTGGAATAGTTCAGCCAGGAAGTAACAAAGGCTTGGACGGGGATTTCGGCTTCATTGGTTGTGAGGTATGGATGGAGGTGGGCAATGTGACGGAAGTGGAAAAAATACGTCAAGTTTTTATTCATAGCTGGTTAAATTGGAAGTTAAATTAGTCTTTTCATGGTGAATGGTTTGCTACCAGTGATTATTAAGACTGAGACTATAAGATTTGAAGTGGAAGAACATAAAGAAATCAGAAAGAGGGCAGGAATGGGATTAGAACTAATGTATGAGTCAACACCATACGACAAGGTTGAAAACTAGGTTTAATTGGCCAAGTGTGCTGTTATTTCTATGCATTCTCAGAGTACCTTAGATCACACATAAAAAGTGACCATTTTGGAACGTTCTGGACTGTTGTTCCTTTGGATCCATATCCAAGTATGAATCATTGGGTTTAGGAGGAGAGAAATTTTAGAAAAAGAAATGTATAATGGAGATACGAACAAATAAGTATGTATGGCATATGAATACATTTCCCAATGGAAGTATTTTGTCTCAGTTTTGCTTTCCTCAAGCCACTTTAATAAAACATTTTCATCAACACATCTAGTAACCTTATTCAATAGCATTACCACGCTGAAGCTTCCTGTCTTATTCTCCCATTTCTTTTCAGTTCATAATTTTGCCCATAGTTTAAGGTAACAGTGAATGATTTTTCCAATAGGATCTGGAGAGTAACTATTTTTAACTGTGTTTTGGTTAGATGGAAACCATTTGATCGGGAAGCCTATCTGCTGAAGCAGCAACGAAAAGTCCTTGATGTGGATCACGATAAGAAATTCTTCAATTCAGTGACGATACCTAGGGTAGGAATATGTCCTGTGCAATTGTGTAATCCTTATTCCATATCTCGCTCTCTTCTTGTTCTGAAAGTTTGAGTCTTTGTTTCTGATTCATCAGCCTTTTGCTTCTGATGATAATAGTAATCCTAGCATTTGATGCAGCACCTTATCACATCATTGAGAAATCTCAAAACACTTCATAGAATTTTACTGTAAAATGCAGTGATTGTGTATTTGTAGACAATTGTGGCAGCCAATTTGTATACAGCAATCTCTCACCAACAGCCATGATGTCAATGACAATTTTACCCAATGTGACCATTTATACAGTTTTACATTTTCAATCTGCAGTTCACAGTAGCAACACAAATTTTGAATTCCCTTCTCCACTCTATGTGCCACATCAATAATAATTTTTTTTACCAGATACCATCAAACACTTGATTCCTGGTTGAATGTGCGCAAGCTGGAACCTATCAATGACTCATTTGTGGAGAGCAATTCATCACTGTGAAGGCTTTGGTGGAATTATACCTATTTATAACAGTATTTTTAAAAAGAAAATAATATTGGCTTTTTTTTAATAATTTCTGCATGTAGCCAGTCTAGTGATTTAAAACAAAAGTATTTTGTTTAAAACATTTTCCGTTATAAAAGACAAAGGCATCTCTTTAAAAAGGGAGATTGGGACCAGCCGAGTAATTATAGAGCAGTCAGTCTAACATCCATAGTGGGCAAACTCAAAACGGAATAATATTAATAACCACTTGAAAAGACTTGGGCCTTGCTCCCTCCTACCTCTCCGACCTACTATCCCCCTGCTTACCAGCCTCTCAGCCCCTAGGCTCTGGAACTTTATCCCCCAGTGCCTTTGCCTTGCCTCCTCCCTTTCCACCTTCAAGGCCGGTCTCAAGACCTTTCTCTTTGACTGTGCTTTCAGCTCCTCTCTCGACTCTCTACCCCCTCCTCGCTCCCTCCCCTCACCCTGACCATTTCCCCCTTGCTCGGGTCCTGACCCAACTGTACAGCACCTTGGGATGTCCTTCCGACGTGAAAGGCGCTCTATAAATGGAATCTTGTTGTTGTTGTTATTAAAAACAATAAGCATAATGTGCTAAAGGCAAGTCTTTCCTGACAAGTCTAATAGTAGTTTTTTTCTAATGAAATAACTGAGAAAATATATGAAGGTAATACTGTGGTTGTGGCATATATGGATTTTCAGAAAGCTTTTAATAAAGTGCCATATAAGAGGCTTGTATTAAAAAAAATTAGGGGCATGGTATTAATGGAAAGGTAGCAACGTGGATAGGAAGTTGGTTAAAGGAAACAAAAATTGACCTGTATTATATGGTTTACATGTTCAAATATGATAACACCCACAGTCGTTACCATGGGGAGGTCAAGACAGAGGATGGAAAACTAGTCGTAGACGGGCTCCCCCATCTCTGTCTTCCTGTGGTCAGATTGCTGGGGGGGTTTTACCATATGGGGAATGTTGATGTGTCGGTTGGTTAATCTAACCCGTGTGTGTCAGCCTGGCTCAGTTGCTCGCACTCTCTCTCTCTCTCTCTCTCTCACCTCCAAGTCAGAAGGTTGTGGGTTTGAGCCCCGCACACTCTCACATACACACATCAGGGACTAGGAACTTGTATTGTCTAAACTGATGCTGCAGCACAGCCCTCCGGGGAGAGAAAGAGCACTGCATTGTTGGAGACGGCATCCTTCGAATGAGATGTTAAACCTCACTCACTTTCCCCATCAGTGAACGGATGTTAAAGATCTCCCGAGGCGTTGTGGAGGTGGGTGGGAGGGAGGGAGAGAAGGGAGTTTTTCTCTCTCTCTCTCTCTCTCCTCTCTCTCTCGTGATCTCGATCCTGTAGGCTAGAGGGAAGCACTTTGATCTCAAGGTGCTATCTGTGGTGCAGGGTGCCATATACCTGCTGTTTCCAAGCCTCAATGTAACACGTGTTTGCATGATGGGTTGCAGCCCCCTCCCTAACATTTTATGACTTCAAAATCCCAAAGCCTGATCCCGTGCCACCGAAATCTGACATCGAACTTGAAATTGCATTGTTGCACTGATGGGATTTGAAGTGTGATCTATACCAATGGAAAGTGCCCAACACAAGAGCAGCCTTCTGTGTGGCATGTGCAGTGATTTCATGAGCCATGTTATCGGAGGTGCTGCAATGACAGTGGCTCTTCTTGATTCTACCCCGGTATAAGGCAAGGTGAAATGTTACAGACCCCAATTACTGCCTTATAACAGGGGTCATCCTGTATATAGTTAACTACAGACCCATTAAGCTGACTTCAATAATTGGAAAACTTTTTCGTAGAAAGAAAATGGAATATTACCTGGAAAAAGTAACTTAACAAATCATAGTCAGAATGGAATCAGAAAGGGTAGATCTCATCTGACCAACCTCATAGACTTTCTTTTGACTGTGGAAAGCCATATCACATCGTGTATCTCGACTTCCAAAAGGTGTTTTACTAAATACCACATGAAAGACTCCTTCACAAACTGGTCACTGGGTATGAAGGAAAAAATTTGTTGCAGGGTTTTATTTGCCTGGTATTTGAGTGAATTGATTGTGAGGTTGCACTTGAAATCTTATAATTTAATAACTGTGGTTTAAGAAGCATAAACACTCTTCATTCCACTAATAACTTTTGAACATGCAAGTTAGGACCAGCCTTTGACATGTTCCCTGACACATTAGGTTTCCAGCCCATGCCATTTCCAACTCTTGCATTTCTCTGGTTTCATTCTCTGGTGCAATTCTGTTTCTCGATGCATTGTGTAGCATTAATAAGTTCAGCAGCTCATTTAATAATTACCATTAAAAGTTCATAAGATAATTAATGTTTCAATGTTGTTGTTTTGTTTCTAACAGCTCAAATCTACACCAGTGCAAAATTCTATATCGGGTAAACGAGCAATGGGTGCTGTGTTTCGTGCTCTACCTGTGTACAATGTGAGTTAAGATTGTGTTTGTGTTTTTTTTTATAGATCAAATAACCTTCTCGGCATCGGTTATCTAATAAAATGTTTCTCTGTGCATTTAGAAACAACAGTAAATTATTTACAACTGTTAAAAAACTTTGTCAAAACCTCAGAAGCTCTCCTACAGCATAAAATACAGCACACTTTTTCATAGCAATCACTCTTTGCTTTAAAATGTTGGTTTGCCTAGAGATGAGGGACTCCTAGCTTGCTCTTTGATGCTTGTGATAGCAGGAAAGTGAGGACAGACTTCTATAACCAGCATTGAGGGAATTACACAGCCATAGAATGAATAGGAAGGTAGTTAATAATCCTGTTATATTCTGTCATGTTTTGGGTCCATAACATTAGACACCAAGTTGTGACGAATCTGAAAAAAAAGTTGGCTGCTTCTGCCTCCAGATCTTAAGGTCACAGTTGATGTCAATTCGATTTGGCTGGTTTCTTTGAGTAAGCATTTTGACAATCACAGGAAGGTGCAACCATGGGCTGTAAAGATACATCCTAATCTTAGATTTGATGTAGCAGCTGCAACATTAAAACTTTTCAGAGCACTCATAGGAAATTGGTGTCAAATGTAGTAACTGTATATTTGTAGCCAGTTTGCTTATACAATCACAAGGTCCTCCAAACAGTTAAGATTGTTCGCCAATACAAGAAATTACCTTCTCTTTTCACAACATCTTTAACATCTTTAGTGTCCCCCCAACAGGCAGACAGAATTATAGCTTAATGTCTCATCTAAAGGACAGCACCTCCCTCAACACAATGCCACTCTCAGTACTGCACTGGAGTATCAGCCTGGATAATGAACTCTTACGTCCCAGCTTGTGGCTTGAACTAACAACCTGATGATCCAGAGATGATATGAAAGCACTGCCAAATGAGCCCCAACTAATACTTCATGCATTGTAAAGACTCATGATAGAGAATCCATACAATATTGCAATGATTATACAGCTCACTAAATATTTATATTGTTAATAATGTAAGGTTAAACAAACGTTAGTTACAGTTATTAATGTACTCCTCACAGCATCATACTCACCAGCAGTATGAGTTACTAATTTCTGAATTATTTGATTTCTCTCTCAAGATTATATAGTAGATGATGTGGAGAAACACAAGGCTATAATTTAATCCCTGGAGAAAAAGAGGGAGCTCATAAAACATATTTTTGTTATCCCTTGATAGAAGTACAGCTGTAAAATGATCCCTCCTCTATTGAACAACAATAACAACTTGCATTTATATAGAGCCCTTCACATGGGGCTACATCTTGGAGCACTTAACAAAATAGTCAATTCACTTTACAGTATATTCTGTGACGTGCTTTGAGACGTCTCGAAGACGTGATAAGGGCGCTATATCAAACGCAAGGATTATTAATATTATTAATGGTGGAGGAGCTTCAGTGTGACTTTTTTTAACAGCAGTTGTTACTAGAATAATCATAGTACTTCATACTCCACAGATCGTTCCTCTGTTCAAAATAACAGGTCAGCTGGATGAACTTTCTAAAGCGAGAATTAATAGTCCAGACTCTATAAGGAAGTTTTTTGTGGGAAGACGTAGAGGATCTGTACACCAAGTTGCCAAGGTAAATATTACTGAGCTGCCAGAAGCAATGGAACAGAGATTGTACTGAATTCATTGTTTTCAATTATTTAACTGAGAGAAGGAAATCTATTTTTCAGTACCGTACTCTGTGTATATCTGTGTACATTGTTAAAACAGGACAGAATTATATCAAAAGTGATTGTATCAGTCCATTTGACTCATCGCTCCAGAATACCATCTTTACCATCTTCCCATTACAGTATGACGGTGACAGGAGAGGGCGGCGATCTTGGTAAAGGCAGAGCAAGCAATGCATGGTGGGGGCAGGAGGGAGGCAGCTTGGTAATACCGTGATCTGCAAAGGTGGTGAGAGTGGGGGATAGCCATCTTGGTAAAGGCAGTGAGCATAATACATGGTTGGGGTGGGAGGGGGAAAGAGAGTTTGGCACAAGTATATCCCAGTATGATCACTGAAAAAAAAACAGCAGATTAAATCTTTTCACTGGCAAGCACAAGGCAGTACAAATAGTACCCAGGCCGGTTAATAAACAACCAGGTAGCAACCTTAATCTACATCTAAGGCTGAAGAGCCCTATAATACAACAACAATTACATTTGTATAGTGCCGTTCACGTCGGAAGTCCCAAGGCGTTGGAATTATAGCAGCTATATAATGCTACTATAATAGGGTGTGATCACCAGTCAATGCTTCTGCGTTCACTGTGCAGAATGATGACCAGTTCCGTCAGCACAGGAAGAGATGTCGGTGGTGACCTGATGCCTTGGGAGTCAGTCTTTTGGCTTCCTGTGCACTGACTGTATTTTAAGGATGGAGGCAGTTCATGTATTTTGAATTTTTGGAGAAAATAAATATCGGGGTCCAGATTACCAGTGATAAGCAAACCCATGTTATAATGAAGCACTTCATAACACGATTCTATTGTAATAGTAAACCTTGGGTGTCTTTTGTGGGAAAATGGAGAAAATCATACTTATGTAGTCAGATGATCTTCCTCGGTTGGGATAAAGCATACTTTATATTTATCTTATACTTTGTATTTGTCCCTATTATAACTGACCTTGAACTGCTTGATACTGGAATTAATAAACATGTCAAATGTAGAAAATGTTCCTTCTTCATCAGAGATCCTGCACCTTGGACACAAAGATGTCTAATCTGCAATATTCTCAAACTGATTTGATGAGATAAAGCTGGCATTTTGATCCTTTTTCAGACTGAATAATTCTGTTATGATGTCAGACTTCCCTGATTCGGAGGATTTGAAATTCTCCATTTGCAAAATTTGAAATTCATAAATCAGTTTGCCACTATCATAAATTAGGTATCCAGCTCCTTCCTACCTCTCTGCCCTCCCTCATCCTAACCCTGCCCCCCACTCCCACACTTGGATCCTGATCCCCAACTGTTCAGCGTCTTGGGATGTCCTCCTAACATGAAAGGCACTTTACAAATGTAATTCTGTTGTTCTTGTTGTAGGCATCAAATAAAACTAGATCCCCCTTTTATAACATGATGGTACAGCATAAAATCAGCATAAAAAAAAACAATGCTGGATCTAACATCAGATTTTTGTATTACAGGTTGCAAAGCGTTCTTTACAAACTGCTGTGACGTGCAAAGTTTTCAAAACCACTACACTGCCATCTGTTTTTTTGGGAAAAGACAAGCCTTGAAGAGCTCCTCTTAAAGTAACAACAATGACTTCTTTAATAAAAATAGGAATTGTTCTGTTAAGTTATTTCCATATACTGACTCACTTTAAATAAAATATCTTAGCAACATATTCCTGTTGATGTTCATGCATAAACAAATATACTGACAAATATTCTTCCTTACGATGAATTTAAGATATAATTATGGTGAAGAAACATGTGGGTAGAAATTCCACTTGGGTCTAGGTTACTCCAAAATTTGTCAAATTCTTAAGTGCAGTCTTTAATTTGAAACCTACAAGCTCTTTTAAGAAATACAGGCTTCAAAGTTAAAACTGAATTCAACGATTTGCCAAATACTGCACAATCTGAAATAAAGTAGATCCAAATGGAATGTCTACCTAATAAAGGGAAATAATGCATTTTTTATGAACCCAATTAATTTTAGTGGGAGTTTTTATGCTCGTCTGAGGAGCATTCCTCTTGAGTATAAGAGTTCAGTCAGAGGCAACAATTGCAGTTTAACAGAAATGTTTCACAGGGCAAGTCAGTAATGTTTTGACACTATGTTTACATTTTTAACCCTGTTATAATGTAGGGTCTGATTTTATGGTCCCAATTAATTAAGTGGGAGTTACCCCTGGTTTCTTGACCAAGAATCATCCAGATGAATTGGTCATTCACTTTGAGATGGTTTGTGTGACATTGCTGAATATAAATTAGCTTCTGGTTTTCCTACAAATACACAGACTATACACTTGACAACAGTTATCTGTGATATACAAGTACTATTGTTAGAATTTACACTTTTTGTATAATGTTAGAATCATAATAGATGTTGCGAACGGGTTAACTTTTAAGTTAAGTGTGTTGTGGGCAGCTGGACTGAAACTCCCTTCACGTACACGAGATAACGGACTGTCTCAAGGACAGTGTGTTTATGTGTGAGGCACGTACACCCCATGAGGTGTTCACGTGAACCCAGCATGATTTCGACCAGATGATCTAATGTCCGCACCATGATTGGATGAACATTGGTATAAGAGTTCAGATAACTTTGTGTACGGGGCCATCCTGGGTCGTGGAGACAAGGATACGGGAAATGGAGCCGTCCCGGGTCGCGGAGACAAGGGTACGGGAGATGGGGCCATCCCGGGCTGCGGAGACAAGGCTACGGCGATGGAAGACTGAGAGCTGGAAACACTAAGACTGAGGATATCAGATGGAAGATTGAAAGCTGTAAGCAAGAAGACTGAAAGCATGAAGAATCAAGCTTGTGTGCTGTAAAGACACAGTGTTGAACTCTTGAACTCGAGATATCTATAGTGGTGTTATTCTGTTATAAGATCTGTTGACTGTACCGGCCTTTGGTCTGACCCATCGGGATATTGGGAAATAACGAACGAATAATAATAAAACAGTCTGATATCTGGTTAGAGGAATTAGCGTTATTTCCTTACAGATTTGGCTGATTTTATTTTCTAACACTATTAATTTATGCACGTAATAATTTGCTGCATAAAACCTTAGAAAATTACAGCTCATAAGAAGACCATTTGGCCCATGAAGCCCCTGAGGTTTGAATCTCTGATTCTGCCAATTACTTCATTTCCATTCACAGGAGGTGCCTATTCACCATATTGACTAAAACCTAGTACTTTCAAATGGAAATGTAGCTGCACTATGAACCATGCTCAATAATAATCCTTAGACTTGATATAGTGCTGATAACATCAAATTGCTTTGCAGATAATTGCAGTCAAGTGAAGTGACTGTATTGAATGTCAGACATAGCAGTCAATTTGTACAAAGAAAAGACTAAAAGGTGAGAGTGCTACCAAACGGTCCCAAATGTACCACATGTCACTACTTGAGCACTCTGCCCAAGTTCCATGTTGGGACTTTGAGCCACAAGACCTGTGTGCAAACAGTCCTCCTTTATGGATCTGAGCTCCCAGGGATGTAGCGGAGAGGCTTCCTCCGACCCATCTGCAAAGTCCAGGATCAAGCAGTGAGGTGAATTTGTGGCAAACACGGGAAGCGACTATAGGGAGGAAGGACTCCTGCCTACACTGATCTGTCGCTAAACATTAGGATGTCTCTGATGGGGTGGAGTGGGCAATGAACATGAATTTGATGGAGTAGAGGCAGTGGGCAGAGGAGTACGGTCACAGGAGATCACTGAGCTCGGTTGGGGAGACATTTGAAGAACCGATTTCAGAGTTAACTCTGAATTCAACAATTTCCTAAATTCTGGATTCTCCAAAATGCTGCAGAAATAAAGAGTAAAGCTAGTCCCAGGCAGGATTTCTCCCCAGTAATGTCCATCGCGTGGTGCAAGAATGAAGCAATTCTTTCACAGAGCAGAAGGTGGCAGCGCAGAACAACTACAGGGCTGTAAATTCACAGCTGCACGGGAATAATAACCCTTACATTTGATATAGTACCTTTCATATTGGTGGTTGTTTTAAGCATTTCACAGGATATACTGTAAAGTCTAGTGACTGTGCATGTATGGTGCAAAGCCGTTGTATGTCAGAACAGCAATAACTGTTTCCAGGCCTCGGTCACCACTCTGAGTTAACCACTGGGGAGCGCTCAGCAGTACCTTAGAAATGAATCTTTTTCACTGCCTTCTCCCAGTAGGGCTGCTCAACATTGTTCTATACACAGAAAGGTAGCTGAGACGAGCAGATTAGCCCATGGGTCTGTGCTTCTAGACTCTAGAATCTAAAGTATAATTCACTTCAATGGCTCCAAGCAATCCACTGCCTACTCAATAGATTACTGGAATTCCCTAACATCCAACATGTTTCATCATCAATGAAATAAAAATAATCCTTGCATTTGAATAGCATCTTAGGACCTCAACCAAAGATCGCTTCTCCAACAAACAGTGCTCCCCACTGTACTGAAGTGGTCAACCTAGACTGAGTTTAAAATCCTAACAAGAGACTTGAATCCTTAACTTCCTAACTCAAATAGGAGAGTATTACCAATGAGCCAGGCTGACACCTATGCAACATGCAAAGCATGGTTGTTGGTTGGTCAACAAGCACACCCAGAGCTCTGCCCCAATCCACTCTATGTAATGAGGTACACTTCACTGTGTAATCCTAATTAGTGGTGATAGTACTTGTATTCATATTAAACGTTACTTACCATACGTCTGCCTCGCTGTCATTCTTGGAATAATCTTTTGCTCATGTTGCTCTGTGTTGTGGCATTGGCAATGTTCTTAACACTTGACATTTCACAGCTTTTAAGTATAAATGATAATACTTAGCTTAAAAAAAAGCTGCATTTAGTCACTTAAGGATTTTTTCCTCTAGGTGTCCTCCAACAAAATGTATCTTGGAACCTCATTCTATTACCTGCTTAACATTGTCCTGTGCTGATTTCCCACATTGTGAGTTTCTGATCAGACATGGAGAGCAGTCTAACATACTTGGAAACAGTTCCATCTTCGACTTATCTCAGAACTTTGAAATCAGCTCCAGCTTTGCCATCCTGAAGCCTCCTTCACTTTTTGTCTCACTCATTCTTAAGGGCTCCATTTGTTACTTAATACTTCACTTGCTTTGAACAATTCAATCTCCTTTTAGTTTCTTTGCGTGAACTTTATTTTCATTGTCAAATCTTTGCTCCTTTACTCTGCTTGTTGTTTCACTTTCTTTTTTCCAAACCAGTGTTTACATTAAACTATGGCTTGCTTTATGCAAAACCATTTTATTGATTTTTTTTGTGAAGTACAATACATTTGATTATAGTAAGTGCTACATAGCCAATACGCTGGATTGAGTTTACACACATCCTGTCAGTGATACATTAATTGTGATGGCAGATCATAGAATCATACAGCACAGAAAGAGGCCATTCAGCCCATAGTGTCTGCGCCGGCTCCAAAAAGAGCAATCCAACTTAATCCCACTGGCCCGCTTTCTCTCCATAGCCCTACAATCTTGTCCTCCCCAAATACCCATCTCTTCTCTCTTAAAAGTTGTTATTGAATCGGTTTCCACTATCCTTTCAGGTAATGCATTCCAGATCTGAACAACTCGCTGGGTGGAAAAAAAAATTCTAACCTCCCCTCTGTTTCTTTTAACAACTATCTTAAATCGGTGTCCTCGGGTTACTGACCCACATGCCAGTGGAAACAGTTTTCCCCAGTTCAACCTATCAAAACCTCTCATGATCTTGAAAACCTCTATTAAATCCCCTCTTACTCTTCTCTGTTCTAGGGAGAATAATCCTAGTTTCGCTAACCTCTCCTCATAACTAAGGTCTTTCATTCCTGGTACCATCCTGGTAAACCTCCTTTGCACCCTCTCCAATGCCCTGACATCTTTTCTAAAGTGTGGTGCCCAGAACTGAACGCAGTATTGCAACTGAGGCCCAACCAGCATTTTATAAATATTCAATATAACCTCCTGACTCTTGAATTCTATGCCCCTATTATAAAACCTAGTATCCCATATACTTTGTTAACAGCTTTATCTACCTGTCTGCCACCTTTAGAGATTTGCTTATGTGGACCCTCAGGTTTCACTGTTCATTTGCCCCCTTTAAGATTGTACCATCTATCTTATGCTGCCTCTCCTCACTCTTCCTACCAAAATGCAACACTTCGCATTTTTCTACATTAAACCTCATCTGCCATGTTTCTGCCTATTTTATCAATCTGCTTAAGTCCCCCTTGCTAGTTCTGGATCCATATTGCCACAGTCCCTTAATATACCATGGGCTTCTATTTTGTTTATAAGTCTCTTAGGTGGGATTTTGTCAAATGCCTTTTGAAAATCTAGATAAACTATGTCTACTGCATTACCTTCATCCACCGTCTCAGTCACTTCATCAAAAAAATATTTTAGGTTTGTGAAACATGATCTGCCTTTAAGAAATCCACGTTGATTATCCTTTATTAAACCATATTTTTCTAAGCAAGAATTTATATTGTCCCGGATTATAGTCTCCAGAAGTTTCCCTGCTACTGATGTTAGGCTGATAGGCCTGTAGTTCTC